CTAAGCCCAAGGGAAGTCGTTCGGGGAGGCCCTCCCTAATTCCACAAGGGTGAGAAGAAACACACACGATAACGAAACGTTGAATCATGTAGAACTCGTAGGGTAAATGCAAAGCAAATTAGGAAGAATATGCAGTAAGCTAAGCGAAGAGGTAAGCAAGAGACATGTTAAGACTATACTACAACTACTAAACGTGTTAGAAGTACTACTACTACTACACTACTACAACATACAAAAAAAATAATAAAAACATCTACAATCGACAATCACTTCAAAAAAAATGAACAAAAATCAGCATGCAAAATAAAAACTAATTCAAATAAAATAAACTACGAAAAAAAACATGCAAAATAAAAACTAATTTGAGTAAAATGAACTTGATGGATTCTACTATATAGAGCATGCAAGATAGATAACTATTTTAACTACGGGATCATCTTTGTCTTCTCCAACGTCGACCTGAAACAGATACGGTGGTAACAGATTAATAAGGAGCAATTAAAATTAATTATATCAGGTATTCTCACCTTAATTAACTGTAGACCGTAATGTTCCAAAGTTTACAGGTGTGAAAAGCAAACCAAATCCAAGAGGAATACCAATGCACAAAATTGGTTATTTCAGTGGAATTCGCATGTTGCTTTCACTTCTACTTGAAAATTAACTGCATAATGTTGCAAGGTGAAGACGAAAACAGCAAATCAAGATTGTAGTTCATCAAAAGCAGCACCGTTGTAGATATTGTTTCAGTATCATGAACTTGAACATTAATTCTCTCCCATTTGTCAGACGATCTGTAGAGATGGACAAAAAAGTATTAGTTATACTATCAACTAAAGAAGGGATGTTTAAATTAAGTAAAATATGTAATATAATTAAAAACATGTACAAAAACTAAAGCAAAACAGCTTATTATAAAATTATATACGGTACTTAAGATTTATTCCACACATCCCATTGCAATCGTATATGCATCAGCGTAAATCAGACTGCACATATTTTGTAAAAATCGCACTTTTCACAGCCAAAGGGAGGGAACATTAAAGGGGCTCCAATTCTACAGGTTTTGAATCCTTTCTATTTTTTGTCTCCTTCTTCATTTAATATGTTTAAATGGCATCCTGTTGAAATAATTTAATGTGAGCTTCATTTTAAATATCATGTTTTAAAATATTAAAAACCAACACTAACACTAATCAAATAATAGACTATTAAAATCAACACATAACTATTGCAANATAAATCAGTGATATTTTAATGTAGAGATGTGGTGTTAAAGTTAGAAGCTAACTTTTGCACTGATGGAAAGGCCAGTTCCACATCTTGCTTCTGCCACGTTTAAAACGTTAAAAAGTTGTCTGATGAAAGTAAGTTACAAATGCCTAAGAAATTGAAGTTTCTGGGACCTGGATTAATATTTTTAATTGATATAGTTTATTTACCAGTTCATACATCATAAATCCTTCCTTCATCAATGCTACAATGTATCCGTTCTCAATGAAAAAAAGGCACTTTTGTGCTTCTTTTTAGGATAGCTACTTTCTGAATCGAATGAACACTGACACAACCAAGCCACTGTAAAGTAATGCCGTCCAAGGTTTTTTTAATGTTCCTGTGAAATGAGATCTTATAAGTATTCAGATAAAATCAATTAGCCTCCTGGTAAATAACGTGCATGACACAATACGAAAGTAAATATCAAACAAAAATACTAATTATGGCATGTATGCTCACCGTAATTAATTAGAAGACCCTCCAAAATGAAACGAAACCATGGCAGGCAACTTGCTTTTTTTTCAGTTGCATCAAAATGAACACTTTTCCATTCTTATTTATCATCAATCTGCAAAAATTGAGAAGAAAAACGAATAAACTACATTATTAAGCAATTAAAACACGAAATACAATGAAAGTACGCACCGAAAAGCAAATAAAATTTCAAAATTTTAGAAATGGCGACGTAACGTCGTTTTTAATAAAAGATGGCAAGAAGATAGACAACATAGATAAATAGACAAGATCGTGTAACGGTGTAACACAGCAAGATCTATAAAATCCATAGATCATAAATAATTGTCAATTTATGCTGCGGATACATAGATAACTATGAAGGAAAAACCTATAGAGCCTAGATGAAAAAGCAAATCACCAAATCAACATTAATTATTTTACGTCTATTCTTACTGCAAATATTCTTCCTCACTTCCCTAGAATCTTTAATCGATGTTCTCTTTGAATCTTTGTTCTCATGATGCGAGTCGACAAATGTAGTGGCGCAAATTTGATTTTTTCAGAAAAAATTTAGATAAACTGAAATTTTGTAATACATACAAAGTCGCGAAATTATGATAGCTACTGAATGAAGCACTGATGACGTAGGAAAACGCCAATCAGAAGCCAAGATTACAAAGAATCTTGTGACTATTAATTACCTACTTCATTATATTTCTATCCTGTCATCTTCGTTAATAACGTATTTAAAAACAAACGTCACAACATTCATAAATAAAACCAACAAAGTTTTTTGTCCGCATTCTTATAACTATAAAAACCATTATCAGAGATAGTATAAAAAAATTGTAGTGTACAATACACAACGTAAAAATACTTAGATTAGACAAATATCCAAAACAAAGTAAAAAGCATTCATTTACATAAACAATATAAGAAATTATAATTATTTTCATAGATTGCTTGGGTATGAACCAAAAACATTTAATAGATTATTTTAAAAAATAAAAAGACTTATTGGTTACAAATTTCTACTCCCACTGTAACATTTCTATCTTTGTCAAGCCTACAGCAGCGCCTCGCTTAATTTCGCCTGAAGTAATATAATTTGAATTTAAAATAGTTTTAAATAGTTTAGTATTGGCAACCCGCCTTACTGCAAAGCATTCTCATAGTCAGTGAAGCAGGAGATCTAATTTCTGTATTAAAGACTCGTTTTCAAGAAAAGGCTTTCAAATATTCACATCTATGTATTAGCCACGTAATTTTAGTTTTTATCAACCCGCAATAACTTTATTACATTTTGATACCCTTAGTTCGTTTTCATAAAGGTAAAAAAAACCGATCTTTTTAAATTGGGAATTGAATGTGCACCCACAACTTCCAATTATAAAAATCGTTTTATCTCATACCTCACAAAAACTTCTATATATTTTAAGGGCGAAAATACATTTATTAAAAAAGGGTGAAATGAAATTAAGAGTTAAAAAAGCACCTCGATAATTCCTAACTACAAAATTCTTTTCACTGATCCCCTACAACGACATTAATACTTTCTGGTACGTTAAGTTCGTTTCATTTCTGCATTTTCTCTCGTTTAATAAGGGCAAAATTACTTCATCAAGAAATAAAAAAAAAAACATTTTTAATTAGGGATTGCAAATCTCGTTTCACTGGTGCCTAACAACACCTTTTTACTTTTACATAATTTCAATTCAGAAGAACGAAATTATTTTATGGACAAATAAATAAAAATGTTTTTTANTTTTTGTCCAAGTTTTTCTCGTTTCGTTGGATCACTTCGGCAGTAATATTCCACAGATAATCTTTCACTCTCTTCTGTCTTCATTTCGTCCGTCTCATCTTTCTCACCCTAACCACCACCACCCACCCATTCCCACGATTCCTGAAAGCAGGCTGAAGAGGGCCTTCCGCCCTACCTTCCGGCATAGTCCGGAGGGACTGCCCGCCCACCAGCACTACTGGCTGGTGGGAATGAAACACCCAAAAGTTTTAGTTTTTTTTGTCGTGTTCCTTACAGAGATTAGTTAGATACGATAGTTACACAGTTTAAAACACGATGTAAATAAAATATGACTTAAATTAAAATTTTTGAATGTGTTTAAAACAAAACAATAATCTCTAAATTCTTTTGGCTAGAGTAAAACTACTTATTAGTTATAGAGATGAAATAAATAAAACATCTCACGGGATTTGCATATTAATACAGTGTTAAAAACATAGTTAGTTAATGACGTCAGGATGTCAGGATAAAAAACCTTGTTTAATATAAGTTTAAAACGTATGTATAAAACATGCTTTCCAAATAAACGTAGAAAGATTTTTAAACATAAATATAAATTGGCAATATGAATGCAATGCTTTTTGTAAAAGTAGAAATAAATTCTAGACTTTAGGTGCCTATGAAAGATAAAACTGTTAATCGTTGTTTTAACTATTAACAGTTTTCTTTATAAGAAATCATATAAAAATTGTAAAGTACACGACATAAAATGAAAATGCCCATATTAGAGAAATATACAAAACAAGGTGAAAAGCATTTATTTACATTTATAGCAACAGTGTATTATCCACCAAATAAGTTTAGAATATTTTATTAAAATAGAAAAATTTAGTTTCCTACAAATTTCGACTCAAAGTGTAACATTTCTATCTTTAAATAGACTACAGCGCAGCTATTTAATTTCGCTGGAAGGTTTCATGGTAACATAAATTTAGTGTTTTTATTAAACAGTGCTGGTGATTGATAGTCTTTCGTGTATGCAACCCGCTGTACTGCAAAGTATTCTCATCACCAGCCAACAGTAGCAATTATAATTCTTTTGCGACTGTTTGAGTGAAGAGGGTTTAAAATATTAACCAGTACGTTTTAGCCACATAATTTTATGTTCACACACAACTACTTTATTAAATTTTGGTATTTTCAACTGGTTTAATAAGTAAGAAATTAATTAATCAAAAAATAAAAACGTTTTCAAAATGGGGGCCAAAAGTGCATCCTTTAATTTAAGACCACAAAATACAACATAAGGGAGAAATGAACTTTTCAAGAAAAAGAAACGACGTTCACAAAATGGGTATTGAAAGTGTTCTGGTAATGTCCAACTACAAATTTCTTTACACTGATGCCTTCTAGCAACTTTAATACATTTTAGTAGTTTTATTTCCTTTAATAAATAAAGAAATTAATTTATCAAGAAACGACGTTTTTAAATTGATTGAATGTGCACCTCCATAATTCCTAACTATAGACTTAATTCCAGATACTGCGCAGAAATTTTTATACAATTGCAGAACTAAAGTAAACTATTCACTGGTGCCTCACAATAACCTTAACATATTTTGCAAGCTCATTTAGTAAGGAAAACATTAATTAACTACAGAATAAAATATTTCTAAATGATGAACTGAAAGTGTACATTGATAATTTCCAATTATAAAATTCTTCCTCAGTTTGAAACATTTTGGTACTTTCAGTTTTATTAAATGTTGCTACTTACCAATTGATTGTAGAATCATTCCTTTTACTTGTATGTTTCCTTCAGGTACCACACATCCTTGAGTAAAAAAGCCAGCAAATCCAGCAAGAATAATACCAGAGTATACTATCGACCAGACACAGGTCACAAATAGGAGAAATTATAATAGCATCAGTTTCCTTTTGGGGTCAACTTGCTGAAAAGAAAAAGAAATATATATCTGAGAACATTCACTTTGTTGGTGTATTTTCTTGCCATAATGTTGTGATTTTAAGCAGTCAAATAAATGAAATATTAGGTTAGATTAGGTTACAGTAGAAAAAAACAATATGAAGAAAGTCAAATAATAACTGCGAAATAACATATTTTTTAATTACTGTTGTTACTTACTATCAGACACGTTTAGGAAGCAAGCTTCAGTCACCATTGTTGCATCCAATATCATTAGAACGGAATGCTTTGACCGGCAAGGCATTTCCTAGCTGGTTAGTGCAGGGAGCCGAGTCCATGGTATAGATAATGAAAAGCTGCCCGCAATAACCTTAATTTATAAATTTTCACGTGCAAGGAGATAAACTCACTTTTTCATCACTGATAATCATAGGTAATAGCCATAGATAATAGATCTACAAAGGGTAAGATTATGTCACGATCTTCTTATTCTTCCTGGCTATAGAGCATAGATAATAGATCTACAAAGGCTATAGAGTAATAGCTGATGACAGAATGCAATTGCAATAGATACATGATAGATATATAGAATAACATAGAAGCACCCATAGATAAGAGATATACCCTAGATAAGAGATATATTGCGGGTTGGAGTCATCATAGAATAGCATAAAAATAGAGAATGGATTGAGCAATACCTTTATGATTATTGACCACTCTCTAAAAAGAGAGAAAACGAGCGTGAGACCAAATCATTCATCCATTCCTGTATTCTACGTAGACTAATCAAAATTCTGGAAAAATATACCTATTGACCCAAATTCACTTTGTTTCTCTCAGACATTTCTGCCTGTATTTACTTTGACAAGATAAAGAAAAAGGCAGTCGATTGTCTATGTCTATGTAGAATAGATAGTAAACCATAGATAGGACATACCAGAGATAACAACTGACTAACACTTTCTTAAAGAAAAAAAGATGGGAGTGTCTCCTCTGTGGCTATACCATGATTTTAAATTAAAAAAAAAAAATGGTCCGACAGCGTTTATTATTCTTAAATTTACACGGAAGTTAAAAAAGAAGATAGTGTCTAGAAGGAGACACGTGAACACGAAAACATTTAGTTCTAGAAAAGACAACCAATACAAACGACAAACTTAAATTTTTAGATTATTTTAAATAAATATTTGATTATAATTTGTTGCGTTTACAAACTTGGAATTCGCATGTATTTTACATACCTGTAAACTCCTCCTGGGGTTATCTGTTATTTGTTGATTTTTTCTACAATATGAAATGAAGATGAACAAAACAAGCTGTTTTATATATATTACTGTAATTAGCAGCTAATTATTAGCTGTATTGCCGTTTATACGATCTTTACTTGACGAAATTGTAAATACCTAAAGAAATATGGAAGTTTAAAAACACTACAAAATGTATGATCTTTTTTTATATTTTAATTATCTATTAGTTTCCTTGTAGATATTTGCCATATATTGTTATTAAGACAATTGTGGGATTAAATTTAAACAAATTTTGATGTATTATTAAATATTCTTATTGTTAGTCAATTACAAAATTTTGTAATTTTATTAAGTGATTTTTCTAAGCTTGCCTATAAGTGATTCTAATCACACTTCCTTCACATTTTCACTATTAATTCACAGGTGGCGCATGTAGTACTTTAACAAAGAATTATTTTAACTATCCATCCACAAAGGTTACGATAGAGCTGACATATATGTATAATAGAATTAGATATTAGAAGGCGGGAGAGACAGTTTTTTATTACTTTTATAAATAAAAAAAAATTTTCGAATGAGAATTTTTCAAAA